TTTCTAATTAGCTTGTAACTTTTGCAAGTTAAAAAAAATAGAGGTAACTTTTAACTTTAAACTTAACTTACTTTTTTCTATATTAACTTAACTTGACGAGTTAAAAAAAATAGTTAACTTGCCCAGCCTTGCTATTTTATGATTTCAAGTGTATATTAGGCTTACAATGAGGTAACAATATACTAGTTCTAAATATATCATTTTGGTAAATTTAATTTAATAATTATATTTTAATTGATAAATAACTCGTAAAATAGTAGAAAAACCGAGATACACAGATAGATAGATAAATAGTAAGGGCCGCGCCACACTAGAGCGGTTTTGACGCGCGAGCACCGCGAGTACCGAGTTACTTCTATTTTTAAATGAAAACTTTCAGTTAGATTAATTTTTGGTCACGTTTTTTTTTTTGTTTTTCATTAAGAATAAAGACATTAGTTGAGTTACCTACGTTAAAACTTTAAATAGTTTTCCTGAAAAAAATAAATATCAAAATTGAGCTCCCTAAATATTTTATATTTGTAGGAAGTGTTGGGTTCTAAACTTGTCTTATTTTTAAGAGTCAATAAATATTATTGTGACGTCTAATAAAGTATTGCAGTACCTATTATACGCGCTAGAATAATAATATATTTTGAAAGCAAGTGTTTGACGGCGTATTATTTAGGTATAAAAATATTTCAATATCAGCGTACTGCTTTGTATTTTCTCTTTTAGATGACGTGTTGAATGTCAATATCTCTGATAGAAATCTTATAAGTTACCGACCGATCAAAAATTATTTAACCTTGAATAAAAATTCAAGATTTTTYAAATTTGTCAGGACATTCTTCATAGATATACGGCGTCGGCGTCTAACCCATATTTTTTTGGAAATTCTTTGCAGGTTATACAAGAATATGTTGTTTCTTCTGTTACAATTTTTGTATAGCAATAAAACAATTAAAACACACCATGACAAACGTTAGATACAATGTATTAGGTATATAATTATGGTAACTACTACCTACATAATCTCTTTAATAATATTTGTTTCAAATTTATAGACTTGTAGACTGTAGTTCAAAAAAATTTATAAATGTTAGACGTCGAAGTATCAAAGTGTGAATAAAGCAGTTTATAATATACCTTAATAATTTCATGGGTAATAACTAATAAAGCACGAAATTGTAGGTAATCTAATCTTTATTACTGTCGTTACTCATAAAACACATTTCCGAAGCGTGTATAATC